GTGTTTTGATGCAGCACATATTATATTGAAAGCAATAAAACCGTTGGAATGGGAGGAATTATTACCTGGAACACCATGTGTGGTACTAACACGTTTTAATCCTCTTGATGTCGTCAATGATGGAATAGCGCGTGAACTTACGGAGGTTTAATTAATGATATATCATGGTAGATATCAATTACAGTAATAACTACCAGGGTTAGCTTGATTAATTCATCATGATGAAAGCCACAATAATCAACAGTAACAACAGCATTGACAACAACAACAATAACAACAGGAACAACAACAACAACAATAACAACAGTAACAACAAAAAAACAATCAACAGTAACAACAATAACGATAATAACAATAATAGCAGCCATAACAATAATAACAGTAACAACAACAATGACAAGGACAACAATAACAACAGCAACAATAATAACAACAATCAGCTATAACAACAATAACGATAACAACGATAACAATAACAGCAACAAGCATAATAACAACAATAGCAATAACAATAGAACAATAATATCAACAACAATGATAAAATAGCAATACCAACAACGACAAAAATAACAATAACAGTAACAGCGGTAGCAACAACAACAACAACAATAATAATAACAGCAACAATAACAACAAAAATAACATTAACTACAACAAAAATTATTGCTATTACTATCACTATAACTGCAATTCTTGCATAGTTATTCTTTTCTAACAAATACTTTCCAATTAATTAAAGCAAAAATATCAGCCACAAATTATAGTCAAGGATGCGAGGAAAACTTGAACAGGTTAGACTTAATAGAAAAATCTTTGGTGATAAACTTTTGACAGAAATAATTTCTTTGACTTGACATATATATATATATATATATAAACGGTTACCTTTCGTCTGGTTATCAGTTCGATTAAACCTGTACAAAATTTTCTCTTCCCATATTATCTGATAACATATTGTTTATTAATATTGATTATATTAATAAATTTAATGTTTTAGTTTGAATCATATGCTCGTGCTGTTATTGAAGAATGCTATCAAATGACAAAAACGGTCACCGTTCGTCTGGTTGATTTCGGATTTCGTCTCACTCAATTAGACGCTTCAGCTATCAAACCATTAATGATCGCATTTGATGGACCACCGCTAGCATTTCGATTATTGATTGATTCATTACCGAAAGTATATATTAATCAGATAATAACTTCTATATTAGCATTTATATATTTAACAACTAAACATGGGGGAGTAGCTAATATCTTAATTTTTTATAAAATAAAAAAAAGTTATCATTATAAGACTTAATTTCATCTTTTTTTTTAAAATTTCATTTACATAAAATTTAAATAAAAAAATGAAAATAAATTAATTTCTTAAAATATTTTATATTTGATAAAAAGAAAAATTTTCAGATTTTAAATTATTAATTTGAATTTTACATCAGATTGACCTTTTTTTTTTTCCATTTTTAGCAACAAAAAGAAAGTTTATGTCGTTATGCAACGCTTTCTGTTCGATTAACAACATCACGAGAAAAGCATTTTTTGTGCTGGTCAAAAACTTGGAAAGCAACTGATATTAAGGTTAGAAGAAAGCTATGTTATTAATATAAACATATAAATTATTTGATGAAATTGTGGAGGAGGAGAAGGAGAATGGAAAGATAATAGCAGTCAAGTTGAGGACAACAGTATGAAAGCTTTCAATGGTTGGATACTTTTTACGCTAAAATTGTTGAAATGATAAAATGTGCAAAGTTTAATGATAAAATGATAAATTGATAAAATGGAAGTTTAAACGAAAAGTAATGAGCCATGTATTGAATTTGCTCAATGTTGATATGATCATTAATATTTTTTTGTTGTCCACTTCTTTTTTTTTTTTTTGAGGTATCGTAACGAAATTTGCAATGAAATTATTGCATGAAATTATTATTAATTTGTTGCATCTGATTAATTACTTAAACTTAGTTAATTACTTAAATTATTAATTACTTAAATATTAATTACTTAAATTAATTGATAAGAAAGCTATCGATGATTTCAATCGTTTCATTTTAATCAATCAATATTTAAATATTTCCATTCGAAATGTCATAAATAAATGAATATATGGATACCATAAATTAATCAAAAAAAAAAAAACAAGTAGATTAATTGATTAATTAATCCATGTTTTTTTCTCTCAGTTAATTTTGATTTCAAATTTAATTTGGCAAAATTTTCAAGTATTATAATAATTTAGAAACAAAATTGGAATAAAGGAAGAAATGATTGTTCATCGAGTATGCATTCATCTGAAATGTACAATTTCAATAATCAACATTGTGGTGAGAGATATCATATATTTATTTGTACTAATTAATTATTTATGTAAAAATATTTCATGTAATTTAATATGCTATTTAATTACTCTCATCATAATGCGATATTATTTGCTAATTTTGTAGCTTCCTCAAGTCTTGGCTTAGTTACACGAGCTTTCGTTACTTCTTGGCTTAATAAGGAGCACAAAAGAGCTGGTGGACGAGGTATTGAGGCTGCATTAAGTGGAATAGCCAAACGTCATTCAGGTTTATCTTATTTAATTTCTTCTAAAAATGTATATATTATCAATATACGATCAATCGATTGTTTTTTTTTTCTTATAATATTTATGTTTTGTCGAATTTGCAAAAAAATTCTTAATTACTTCTTTGACATTTCGTTGCTATAATGTTGGTTAAAATTAAAATGTAAAGTGATTAAAGCGCATTTATTAAGCATAGAACCATACTAAATAGCAAAATTCTGTTGCTTATTTAAATTATAAAAAAAAATTAATAATGATGAATAAAATTTTGGGAATAAAATCTATGCAAGAAAATTTTTTGTAAAAAAAATTTTTGTTTCATATAAGAAAATGGAAAGAAAAAAAAGTTACATACAAAAATAATTTAAATTTTTCGAAATGAATTCATAAATACATCTATTTGATTAAATTACATTAACCTTTTACAATTAAATAATTGTTCCTAAAAATTATATCTGAATTTTTTATGGTTTTAAAAAAATTTAATATATTTTTCATAAATTTCAAACTTTAAAGTTATGAAAACTTTCATAACTTAAAGGAAAAAAAAGAGGAAAATTTTCTTTTAGATTTGCCACCCTCTGAATTTGCATTAAGTAAAGCTGATAATTTCATCAATAAAACATTAAAACTTCAATCAACCCAATCCTCCGATAATTGCTTGAATCAATTAGCAACAAAACCAATTATGGTATCATTTAATTATTTAATATTTATTATAAATTGTAATATATGTAAAATGATATGATATGATATGAGAAATAGGGAGAGAGAGAGAGAGAGAGCAAAAGAATAAGACAAAATAACCGATATTATATTCCGATATTTCGAGGATATTTTCACATTCAAAAAATATTGAATGTATAAATAAGAGATAAATTCCTGTTGCTAATTAGTACCTAAATCATTATATGCCATATTATTTTTTTTTTGCATCATTTTTTAAGAAAATTGATAATGATTGGCCAATAATTGCAAGATTATCAAAAACTATCAGAAAGGCACCTCTGGAATTGTTGAAAAAAGAAAGCCAAAAGAAAGGTAATTTAATTAAATAACTTTTCTCATATTCACCCATTAATTTTATCTGGACATTCTTGATCGCAAATTTCTTGAAATGATAAAAATTCAAAATATTACAATACGAAAAAACTTTTTTTTCCTCTAGAAAATAATTATAAAAAAAAAAAAGAAAAGCTCAAATCATGTTATTTGGAGAAAATGTTTAAAGTATCAAAACTTTGTGACAAAAAAGTCAAAAAAAAAAATCTGATAAACAAAACAAAAAGTCGGAAAAATATTTTTTTTTCCCCCATTAGTAATTACAATTAAACGAGTAATTATTTCCATAACAACAATATTAATCAATTTATTTGATTATCAATTACATAAAGATAATGATAACCAAATTAGTTAATTAACAATTTGATAAGAAAAAGAAAAAAAGCCGGATTGTATAGGTTTATAGTTTTTCTTTTTTAATAAAATGCTATATCATTTTACATATTTATGATTTAGTTATTCATAATGTAATAGTTTTGTTTGATACAATTATTCGATTGATATAGCAGTAGTTAATTGAACGAAACTTCTCCATGTTAATTTAGAAATATTTTTCCATTTATTCATCATATTACATAATTCCTGTAATCTGATGCTAATAAATCATTAGAAATATTTACCATTTTTTGCTATTTCATAAATTTATAGTGAAAAAGTTGCAAGCAATGAAGGAGGATTCAGGAAGATCTGTTCATTTGAACAATTCTAATCATCCAGACAATTTAAAAAATCTCTCAAATTTTAATCATCCAAATGATTGTAATAATCTGGAAGATTCTAACTATCCGAAAGATTCCAACTATCTGAAGGATCCTGATCATCTGACGGATTCATACCATCCATCTAATTCTAATCAACTAAACAATTCTAACTATTTGGATGATCCTAACCGCTCGACGGATTCTAATAATGTTGCAATTAAGGTCGAAAATTAAGGAATCATTCTTCCTTTAAAAAAATATTTGCATAACATTAATTGTTCAACAATTTGAGTTTTTTCTTCCTTTTCTTCAAGTTTTTTATCCTTAAAAAATCAATAATTACGTGAAAAGAAAAAAAGTTACGCTTTTAAACTACCTAATATTGGCACTGAAAATTGAAATCCATCCCAGATGTTTTCTTTTATATTTATCTTAATATATCAACTTAAGTATGATATACAAATTTTTATACAAATTTTCATTCGGTTTGGCTACTTGTAACGATTTAAAGTATGCGGAGTAATTAATTTTGAATTCAAAAACTTATATGCTTCCAATTCATTTTAATTCTAACAAAATTCGATATAAAATGCTATAATTCATTCCACACCATTTTTACAATTATCAAATTTCATTTAGATTCAATTTTGATAAATGCTCAAATTTGAATGTTTAAATTAATTTTTACATTTTTTCCGCTTCGAAAAGTTCAAATACTTTCTTATTAAACCCAGCTGCAGAGCAAATTTTAGTCATTATAATTGAAAAGTTTGGTGAAATTTTAGGAAAACGAAAATGCCATATCGGATGCGCAATTGTCACCTTCATCAGTAAGCACTGTGCATACATGCCGCGAATTGCTTTGATTCACAAATCCCTTTCGTAATTTTTCTAAAATTACAATTATTATTGCCTGCTTATTTGTATGCAATAAATTTTTATTCCAACACCTTTTTAAGGAACCAAAAAAAAAAATCATAAATCCTTTTTAAATGCAAAAGTTGCGATGTGCGACAGTACCGCCAGAAGTTGTTATTCATGAAGCAAGTTATAAATAGCACATAATTTTGGCATATATTAAGCAATAGAAAATAAATTTTACAGTTTTTATTAGTATATCTACCCATTAAGACCGTAATATTTGTGGTGTAGAAAATTCAACTTATGCAGCCGAAAGTTCTTCATTTTGGATAAATAATTTCCTGACAATTTATAGATTAGAAATTTTTGAAAATTATGCAATCTTTCGTTGCAGCTTTTTTTTTTAAAAAAGTTTTTTTGAAATTTTCGAGAAAAATTTACCATAACATTGCAAAAATTTATGTAAAATACTTTGAAGTTGCAACAAAATGATGCAAATAATAATTATTTTATTTTTACGATTAAAATTTTCCCATCAAATTTCATTAATTTTATTAATTGATGAAAAATTTATTTTTAGGCATTTGTTACAATAAATTTTTTAATATAAATTTATTACGAAATTTTCTTTTCATTGATAAATTTGTATCAATGAATTTACATTACATATGAGGTCATATTGGAAAAAGAGTAGTAAAGATGAAAAATGTAAAAGAAGATGATGATAAGAAAAAGATTCATTGATAAATGATCAAAATGTTATATGGTAATAGAAATGTAATGATAAGGAATAAAACAATGAAAGAGAAATTTTAAAATCATTTTGATTAATTTCCGTTTGTTATCAGTTCAAACAAAATTTTATTTGTTTTCAACCGCAATAAGATAGTGTGAAAGTATTTTGCCATAGGGGACATATTTGAAAAGATATCAAATGTCACATTTATTTAGTTGTATGCCATCATATTTATGTGTAAATTGATGAGGAAGAGGTCAGGAAGATAATTAACCATTATTAATTTTCATTCATTACAATAATTTTCACAAAATGAGAACTAACTTATCATTCATTGTTATTGTATTTAATTTGTCATTTTCATTTTGATGTTTCCAGTTAAAATTGTTGTAATAATGAATGTTGATGATAATTGATGATGATGATGATGATGATGATGATGATGATGATGATGATGATGATGATGATGATGATGATGATGATGATGATGTTGATGATTGTATCTTAAGAAAAAAAAAAAAAAGAATAAAAATTTTACCCTAAAGGTAAATTTTTATTCGCTAGAACTGACCTGAACATCTATCGGTCAACGCTCTCGACACAGCCCGCCATCCAGCAAGTTTTTTCTGCCTGCGGAAATGTGATAAAAGCCTGTCTGTCATCTTGCACTTCCTCTTTTTCTTGTCATTGCTCTTCCCTTATCTTAAATCAAAATCCGCCAATGTTAAAGTCCGCTCATCTTTCACTATCAACAAGCTCATCATTTCAACATTAAATAATAATGTCATTAGATCCTTCACATTTTCATTGAATCCATTACACTTCTTCATTTACTTGTTTTTTTTTATGAAGAGATAGTATATGTATATACGTACGGTATTGGGTAGAATACGGTATTGAGTAGAACTGAGTCAAGTATATTATATTAGTCCGGCCCTCGAAAATCATTCCAATTTCTCATACGGCTCCCCCCCTCCCCCTCTGAAAAATTAATTACCCATCCGCTGCCCTAGAAGATGAGACGATGAAAGGGAAGAAAGTTTATTGGCGAATGATTTCACTCATGAAAAGGTCACTTTCTCTTCAAATATTTTTCCTTTCTTTTTTTTTTGTCAATCAAATGGCTATAATTGAATTAAATTGGAATAAATAAACTGTTTAATAGATTTTTGGAAATGATCATATTTTAAAAGCAATGCATTACTCAAAATACAATGTATAAATATACATATACACACGTATACGTGTATACGTACACACACATATACACACACACACACATACACGTACACACATCACACACCTACATATACGTATAGATATACATATACACATACACATACACACCCACATACACATACACACATATACATACATATATACATACATGTACATGCACATCTACATACACATAACATGTACATATACACTCATATACACACATACATTTCATTTGTCCTCAATTCTTTATTTAGCTTATTTAGCTCATCAATTTAAAATATTTAATTTAACTTTTTTTTTTCAATTCATCATTTTATCATCTCTTCACATCATTACATTAACGATCAGTAGTTGAAAGATTGTTGGACCAAAACAAACAATGAAGTTGATTACCTTTTAGCTGAGTAATTCGTTTTAATACCTATTGAAATACCTGCACTAAATTACATGATATTGATATTAAAGAAACAAATATTTTATTAATTAAAACGACAAATAACAAAAAAAAAGAAAAAAAACGAAAATGATTGATAAGATCGGTAATGTCACAAGTATGACAAAACTAACATTTATAAAATATTGCTGATATACCTAAATGATAAAACGTGATAATAAAATATAATGCTAATGAAATTATTTGCATTTATTTGTTGGTAAAATAGTGAAATTTTAAAATATATAATAAATAATAGGATTCAGAGGATGGAATCCTTCATCTTTATTATCAGATACTAAAAATGCCATAGATTATATTGTTCATTAATGCGACATTTTCAATATGTTGTAAAAATATTGATTAATTAAAACGACAAAAAATGACAAGAAAAGTGGGAAGATCAATAAGAAAATTAAAAATTTCAACAAAATGCAATTATACATACCATTTATAAATTATTATTACTGATATATCGAAATGATACATTATACATAAATTAATTTTGTCAATCTATGTAATGATAAATTATTATAAATTGTGACAAACATTGATTGATTGAATTATTTTCATTTATCTAACTCAATTAACTATTTATTTATATACAGTAAACTATTGTAAATTTTTTAACAGTATAATTTTTAATACAGTATAATCTTTATAACATTACAACCTTTTGATACAGTATAATTTTCGTAACAGTACAATTTTCGATACAGTATAATTTTTGTTACAACACAATTTTTTGATACAGTATAATTTTTGCAATAGCGTAATTTTTTTCGATGCAGTATAATTTTTGCAACAGTTACAATTTTTTGATATAGTATAATTTTTGTAACAATGCAATTTTTTGATACAGTATAATTTTTGTAACAATGCAATTTTTTGATACAGTATAATTTTTGTAACAATGCAATTTTTTGATACAGTATAATTTTTGTAACAATGCAATTTTTTGATACAGTATAGTTTTTGTAACAGTATAATTTTTTAATAGTATTTTGATTTATTTTTAAAATATTCAATTGATAGTAATTCACTTATAACAATTTATCAGTAATAATTGCTGTTATTAATGCATGCTTGAAACAATGAAAAGTTGGT